GGTCACTGGGAAGAGGTAACTATGGGGAGGAAGTGGGAGGGGAGCTGTTGCATTGTGGTAAACTGTGGTCAATGACATGAGACAAAGTATATGTGAACTGTTGTATGGAAAGTGAATTTGCTCTGTAAATCTTCACCCAAATAAAAACAAATAAATTATAAAAAAATAAAAAAAAAGTGTTAAAAAGTGAAGATGTTACTTTGAAGATTAAGTGCGCCTAACCCAAGCCATGGTATTTTCTATCACCCTGTACAGTAAATAAGGCATACTGAAGAAGAATTGGGAGCTCTGGTAGCATAGTGCCTGAGGCACTTGACTGCTAACCAGAAGGCTGGCGGTTCAAACCCACCAGCCACTCCTCGGAAGGGCAATCAATTTCCATAGTGATACTGTCTCAGAAACCCAAGGAGGGGTTGCTATGAGTCAGGTCTGACTCGATGGCACATAAAAACAACAACGAAGAAGAATTGATGCCTTTGAACTATGGTGTTGCAAAGAATACTGAATATGTGATGGACTGGCAAAAGTACAAACCAGTCTGTCTTGAAGTAAATACAGCCATAATGCTCCTTAGGAGCTCTGGTAGCATAGTGCCTAAGGCACTTGACAGCTAACCAAAAGGCTGGTAGTTCAAACCCACCAGCCACTTCTCAGAAGGAGGTTGAACAATCTACTTCCATGGAGACAAGACCTGGGAAACCCACGGAGGGGTCACTATGAGTCGGATCCTACTCAACGGCACATAACAACAACATTAATGCTCCTTACAAGTGAGGGTGGCGAGACTTTGTCTCATGTACTTTGGACATGCTATCAGGAGGGACCAGTCCCTGGAGAATGACATCATCCTTGGTAGAATACAGGGGCAACTGTTACAAGGCTGGCACAGGACTGGGCAGTGTTTTGTTTCTGTTGTACATAGGGTGCTAAGAGTTGAAACTAACTTGATGACATCTAACAACAACAGTTGATAATGAGTACTTTGGGTGCCTTCTAGACAAAAGCATCAGAGACACAAAAGTAACTGACATTCTCTTGTTGTTTGATGGATTGGTTTATTGGGAATTCTGGGAAAAGATTGTTTAACTTTCAAGAAGGTGATTGTCCTAAAAAAAAGAAGAAAGTACTATTTAATTTTGAAGAAAATAAGGGAGTGTTATCTGTATAAATAATTAATTAATTAATTAATTAGGCAGTTCCTACGGAGCCCGTTGTACAAAAGAGAGTGGTAATGAAGAAAAATGAGACTTAACGCATCCTTCAAGCAAACTTCATCTATATACCACTCTGCTTGTCTCCAGCTTGCCCTCATTTTTTATACCTGATGCAGGTGGTAATTCATGGCTGTGTAGCATAGTGTCTAAGGCATTTGCCTACTCACCAGAAAGTTGGTGGTTCAAACCCACTAGCCACTCCATGGAAGGAAGATTGGGCCATCTGCTTCTGTAAAGATTTACCACCTTGGAAACCCAAGGGGATCGCTGTAAGTCAGAATTCACTTGATGGCAGTGACTTTGGTTTTGGTTACAGGAGAGGAAAGCAACATGGTTATAATTAGTGTGATCTGAGGCAGAGTGTCTAATTTGTCATTTCCTTTATAGGTAGAGAAAACATTATTATTAATTTTGTATTCCAGTGACTTGGAAAGAAAAACAATCGTTAAAATGTAAAAATTGTTTTTGTTTCTACAGGTCCTTCAGTCTTGGAGACTATGAGGAGCCTCTGCACCCAGGGAAAATGTTACCCTTTACAGGGGGGAAGGGTAAACCAGTAGGGGATACAGTACAATCCCAACCCTACTGGGAGGGGCGGGAGGGAGGTGTTGCCGTCACTGTATTAAGTCGATGTTGGGAAATGTTTTAACATCTGGAGCCTTTGTGGGTGGAAATCTGTCTCCAATTACAACTCTGCACTGGATGTGAAGAAGCAAAAAAACATAGTCTACTCACAAAACAGTACATTCTGGAATATCATGGGGAATTGTACCAAAACAAGAACCATATAAATGATGCATAGGGTTAAGAAAGAGGAAAAATTCTATAGCGCACAATAAAGGAAACCTAAGAATGGGACATTTTGTGACTAAAGAAGCTTTTTTTTTTTTTTTTTTTAATTTAAAGTTTTTTATATAAGTTTCCCACATGATGGGGCCTTGTTTTGCATGCTGATGATGAACTACACAAATGAAGCAAATAGAGTTAAAATCAGCTTGCCTGCCCAAGTAGAAGCAGGTTCTTGGAAGCTACAATTTTTAAGGTACCCCAGAAAAAGCTGGAAATAAAATGAAACAAATTTAAACAATGAAGCACCCTGTGAAATGCCAAATGAGTCACTCCTTTACCTTTATGGGGTGGGCAGGGAGGGAGGAATAAATGGGGGTTGGGCATATCAAACAAAAGATTGATGTCTTAATTTTACATTAAAACATTAATGTAGTGGATATAATTTGATGGCTGTACTTCATTAGATTTAATTTCTAGGCCAAGACATTATTTTTAATGTGCAGTTTAAGGTTCAGGCATGCATTCTGGCTCATAGTGATTGAAAGTAATTTAAATTAGTGGGAAAGTAGCATGCTTGCATCACATAGAGTGAGATTGGTATTCATTTACCTATGTTGCGCCAGTTTGTGTTGCAGTTTACCAATTCAATATAGCCCTGCATTTAAAATTCCTTTTTAAGATTTGTGGATTTTATTTTTATTAAGAATATAGATATAAAGTACTGTAGTTTACAGCTAGGCCTTGAAATATCTTTTTAGGAAATCTTAGGAATAAGATTGATATTGTATTGTGTGTAACCTGCACAATGTGGAAAGCTGATATACCTGTGCAAAATCTTTGGCTCTGTGCTGTCAGTGTGATGTGCTTTCTGCATGGTTATATACTACTAGTGATTTTATCAAAACTTCTAAAACTTAAATTACATGGTAAAAAGGCTGCATAAATGTTAGTTGGCACATAAAGACAATTGTAGAAGTTGAAGACATAATTGCTATATTTCAGTGTTTATTCCCACTCAGCATATTGCCTTCTAAACTTTCTTTTTCTGTTCAAAGCATGATCTTAAAGATATGTTTAAGTTAATGGATGTAATGCAGGGTTCCTACACTGTATTGGCGCATGTTGGTGGCCCTCTGTGCCCTAGATAGTTGCACACAGGGTGCAAGTTAAAAGCTACAGAGTGAAAGTTGGTTTGGATCCTCTTCATTTCATTTGTTTAGCTTTTCTGTTATTTTTCTCTACTTACATGTATTCCTGTGAATAAATCCTTGTTAAGTTAACGCTTTACTTTTCCTTCCATGTGTATTTTCTTATATACTGTGAATGTGAAAACCTAACTGGTACACTTGATTTTGTGTCCATATGAAAGTGCAAGTCTTTATTAATTTGGATTGCCTGAACAGTGTATCCCATGATGAAGGAAAATGGAGAGATCTTTTCTTTTAAATTTTAACTCTGCTGGTCAGAGATGAAGCCACACCTTTCCATTTTCAATGCTGCATATTTAAATCTGCAACAGAAATGTTAAGCCATAACAACCTTTTTATATTTTAGTTTGTCACCTTTGCATTGCAGAATAAATACCGAATAATCGTTTTTATAAGCAGTTGCTCCTCTTTGCATGATTCTATTCTCTAAAGGTGTTGAATGATACAGCATTGCACTGAAGTTTGAGCTGTGTGCGTGCAAATTTATAAATACCGGTTCAAAAAAAATTTCAAATGCATGGTAGCATGCAGAAAGATTTTTGTTATTGTATATGTGTGTTTGTGTTTGTTGGATTTTTTTGTTGTTTATTGAGGTGTTTTTGTTTTTGTTTTTGTTTTTAACCATATTCTTTCACCTTCTTTTACTTTGGCTTTGCAAATTCAGTCTGTGGAGCCTAACTGAATTATATTTGGTAAAACCCCTCCCTCCTTTTTTTTTTTTTGGTAAATTATAAGTTGGATCCAAAGACTATGGCATTTTATTTTCTATACCAATGCTTCTTAGGGAGCTCAAAATTAGATTTTTAGTCAGTCTGCAAAACCTAAATATAGAGTAACTATTTTATCTTCAAATTCCAGTAATACACTAGTGCTTCAGATACTTTTTAGAATTTAATATGGTAGATATGTTAATATTCAGGAATAAGTAATAAATATTTTAAATGGAAAGAAATTATAAACTTCTCTAAACACAGTAAAGCAAGTAAGAACAACCTAGCTCTCTGGGCCTGTGATTAACAGTTACATATTGTCACCTGTTTGATTAAAAACTTTTTTTCAGTTAGGCAGATGGGTAACATAAGAATGTGCCCATTTCGTAGTCATTTGACCACTTTAAAAGGACAATGTGAAAATAGAAAATAATAGTACTAGCATCCTTGAGATTAGGCTTTTTCTCTCAAGTTATTTTGTTTCTTCCTAATTGTACTTCAGATACATAGTATAGCACAGGAATTTGCAGAAGCCATTTATTAAGTTATCTTTTTGAAGTAAGCTCTATCTGATTTAGCATTTATTCTGATGAAACTAAATACATCATGGGATATATATATATAAAGCAACTTAATTCTTGTGGTGTAGTCTTTAATAGTTTTGAATGTTGACTGAATGTCTATGAAGTTGTAAGTTTGTCTTTGTTACATTCCAGTGTTTCTGCCTCTTGGCATGCTTAAAGCACGGCTTACTTCATCTGCTCCTTACACACTAAAGTGCTGTTAGTGTGCTCAACTACAGAAATAGCCGCTGCTAAGTGATGTAGATTTTCTACTTGAATATTTTTATGTTGTAGGAACCTCAGGAGGTCAGTGTTTACTGTTTTATATATGCCTTCTTTTTCCTGTTTGAGCTTCTCTCTTTGAAGGATTCTAACAGAACAAAAGCTGCTGATCAACCTAAGTTGGAAACAGAAAGTATATTTAATTTAATTTAAATGCATGTTTGGCAGTTTCATGTTATAGTCCCATTAGTAAGTGAACATAGTACCACAGATACTCATTTATTCTGGAAAGAATTCTGCTTTTTGTATTGTCTTTATCTCTTTAATGACTTCATACTGTGTAAAAAAAAAAATCACTTTTTTACATATTTTGGTTGGTTATTTCCCAAATAATCAACATGTAAATAATCTTTAAGAGCCAGTTTTGATGCTTTACATTATTGCTACTTGATTTTATGAGGCAAATGAAATTTCAGATAATAAGTTTTGAAACACTTAACCAAGCCATTACATCTTAAAAACAAAACAAGTAGCATACATTTTGTAATTAACATAATGATAAGCACTGTGATTTTTTTTGTTGTTAAGACTTTTTTCATTGATCTGAATTGCTTAAATTGCATATATTGTAAAATAGGATCAGATGTATATTTTAAAATAATTTCAACTGACTTTATTGAAATGCTTTGTCTACTCAGTTATAAAATATTCAGATACAAGTTTTATCTCAGGTGAATACTCTTGTATCAGTTTTGCTTTGGTGACATATGCTTGTAAAGTGTCATCATACTTGTAGTTTTTGTTTTTTAGTGTATTTTATTGAGAATCTTCCCATTTAGTCTGATTTTCCAACTCTTATTCTAGCAGACTGGAGTGTGAAATCCCTCCTGGCAAGTCTTTTGCATGCAGGTTTACCTGAAAGGGAGTCAGTTTTGACCCTTCTTGTCTCCATACCCTCAAGTGAGAAAAGTAAAAAATTTTCTACCCTATATTAAAGCACCCTGCATAGCTGAAATGCCACAATTAGACTACTTATGTCTTAAACCCTTTAGTCTAAATTTAAAATACATCTTTGCCATGAGGAAAAAAAATTCATTTTTTGCTTCATATACTTAATCTGTATTATTCATATTGAATGTATTAACAGATAATGGTGCAAAAACATTCTTCCCAAGAGAAGAGTGTATCATGCATAACTGCAGTTTAAGTCCTTCTTTTAGTAGTGCTTTAAAACACAACACACAGCTTTGCTTATTAAAATTTTTTTGCAAATAATAAAAGGGGGGAAACACTAATTGTTGCTTCTAGTACTGTTGAAGTGTGTAGGCATTGAAATCTTTAAGAAAACTGGTCTTAAGATTTTTAAGGACCTGGAATAATCTAGATAAAAAATCAGATCAATAAAGAGTTGTATTTTTAACAATATTATTTAGTGATAATACCATGCAATAGTATTGTGTACCATCTTAGTGCATTTCACACTGTATTAAATATGGAGTTACTTCTAATGCCTCTTAAAAATTAAATTTTACATAAGAGTCAGTTTCATTCACCTGTACAGTTTGCATGGTGACTTGTGACTAATTTTTTCAGTCTTACATAGAGCTTTCCCTCGTTGGTGTTACTTATATGTAGAAGATTCTTTTATCTTTATGCCTAATTATTATACATATTAATTTTAAAGTACACGTTTAAATTACAGCAAGTGTTTATTGTATCCCAGAATGTATTGTGTGGTTTTTTAAAAGATGCTTAATAGCTGAATGTATGCATGATTTTGAGTAAAATTAAAAATTTTTTTTTCTACCTTTTGTTGTACATTTTAAAGCCAAGCCAAATCTATTTGCCAAGCACTATATCACTAATTAGAAAACCAGTAGTTTCCCTTTTGTATTTCTATTCATGTACCATAGAATCCCCTTATACTATGGCTTGGTATTATGCAGAATTCGTTTTTTTTTTCTAAAAGCCTAATATAGCATGGTTAGCCTATAAGGCAGTGTTGGTCCCCTCCTAATTCCAGCCTCATGAAGGGGTTTCACTGGACTTTCCCATATTACTTCATTGTTGTTTTTCCTCTGTGGATATATAGCCAAACTAAATTTGGGTGGTTTTATGGAGATAATAATTAGACAATACTGTATAATTAATTTTACTTAGTAGATTATCATCTTGTGAGAAGAGATGTTTAAACATTATAAATTACTTCACTTCATAATATAAAACAGT